ACACACACACACACACACACACACACACACACACACACACACACACATACACACACGGGAGGCAGAGGCAGGTGGATCTCTGTGAGTTTGAGGTCAGCCCCGTCTACAGGGTAAGTTCCAGGACTGGCTCCATAGCTACTGGGAACCAAAAAACCAAAGGGAAGCAAAAAGATTCCCAGGAAAAAGGGAGTTCTTGGCGCTCTTGGCACTCTTGGCATTTCCTGTCAGCATCTCCCCTGTTTGTTTTCATATGGCATGGCATGTCCACGCCAGTTTGTCTCATGGTGCCTTGCTTTTGTCAGGGAGCCAAAGAGGAAAGTCTGCCTTTTATCGTCTTGCTTCTCTCTAGCCTTCCTTCCTGAAGCATGTCTTAACTATTAGAGTTTGAGTGTTCATTCTGAACCTTCTCTCACCAGGAGAAAGTGAAAGCTTACTCTGATTCAGGGTTATGATCTGATTTTGTTGAACTTTGGGATGTTTAAATCACGCTACTAGGAGATTCTCTTGTATTTAAAATACTTTAAAAACAACTTTTCCTGGGGGCTGGAGAGATGGCTCCGCGGTTTAGAGCACTTAGAAGTTTTAGGCTACTATTATATCAACATATCTTGCAGACGGGAAAGTCAATTTTGTAGATCAAAGGGTTTGTAACTGTTTGATGTTTATCCCTCTCCTTTGGTAGCATGAGGACTACCTTCCAGTACCGTGAATACTCATCCATAGGGGTGAAGGCTCTAGGTAGGCACCAGTTTGAATTCCCAGTGTTTTGTGAGTTGAGTATGTGCTGTCTTCAGTATCAGGGCCTTACTGTCAGCGGGTAGAGAGCCAAGGCAACTCATAGAAGGAAGGGTTTCTTCGGGCTCACACTTCCGGAGGCACGAGAGTCCATCACCATCATGGTGGGAAACATGGTGGCAAGCTGACAGCTCCTGTCTTAAACAGCAAACAGGAAGCAGTGAGAGCAAATTCAAAATGGCGGGTCTTTAAACTCTCAAAGCCCGCCTCCAGTGACGTACTTCCTGCGACGAGGCAGACAGCGCCACCCACTGGGGGGACCAAGGAGTCATTCAATGAGAAGGTCTCATTGATAACCACATGGCCATGTGTGGGAAGAGCACCCCGAGGAGGCAAAGCAAGCAGGAAGGTTGTAGGGCCCATTCATGCTAAGCCCCAGAATGTTTGAGGAACAGCATAGTTTGAGCAAAGATGAGTGAGGACCAAATCATGGGGAGAAAAGAAAGGGGAGCTCATGCATGGGGCACGGGGCCTTGGCCACTGTGAATACTCTCTCTCATTAAAGCCCTGGAGCAGAACATTGCCAGCTGACTACAAGGACAGAGGTGACAGCAGGTTAGAGAGGAGGAGATGATGGGGGCCTGGACCCACGCAGTCAGAGGGCAGATTTGGGGTGGATCTGAAAGAAGAGCCGAGAAATCGGATGTGGGGTCTGTGGGCAGAAGGAAAGACTAGTTGAACTTGTATCTGAGTTAGACATCAGGGTACCCTGTCAAGATGGTGGGTTCTATGCATCTGGAGTCGGGGCCAGGACTGGTGGGAGATAAGGTTATGTGAGCCCATGCGTACCTGTGATATTTACACCTGTGTGGCTATGTTTGGTAAGACGCCAATGCCAAGGGCTGGAGTGGAAGACAAGCTATGGAGATACAGGAGAGGTAGGTAGCCAGCAGACCCTCTGGCAACCAGAACTGACCCTCTCCCTCTGCCTTGCAGGTGTGACAATATCCGCGTGTTTAAGCTGGGCCTCTTCTCCGGCCTCTGGTGGGCCCTCGCCCTCTTCTGCTGGATCAGTGACCGAGTCTTCTGTGAGCTGCTGTCCTCCGTGCACTTCCCGTACCTGCACTGCGTGTGGTGAGCTCCTGCCCTGGGGTGGTGGCATTGACACTGGGTGTCCCCGCTTGCTGCTGCTGGGCTGGGTGCACGGGTGCACGGGTGCACGGTGCCCGGGCGGGCTCAAGGGAGAGGCGCAGAGCCAAGCATTCTCCTTTCTCCCGTCAGACGTTTTAGAAAGAAACAAAGTCAGGTAAAGTGTGAAAAGGGCTCCAGGGAGCTGGTTTAGCCAGAACAGCCCCTCCCCCCTTAATTGTTATGCTGCTTGGCGAGTTGGCAGCCTCTCCGGCAGCTCCTTAATTAGTACCAGGGAGCCTGAAAAGTGAGTCCTGCAACCTGAGCCCCAAGGTCTGGGTGGGTGGTGGGGAAGGGGGAGTTGGGGACCTAAGTGATGTGAGGACAGGACGGTCCCCAATAGGAACCACGCCTTCAGGGCCCATGTGACCAATGAGAGCTTGGATCCCGCAGGTCGGCTAGGGACAGTCTCAGCTATTCTTTTGTACAGCTCCAGCGAGAGCCTAGGGGACTGGAGTCTATTGCTGCCCATCAGTCAGACTGTTTGATAAGGAGCTAGAGCGTCTATATTTTGGGGAGCCTGGGAATGACTAAAGTTCAAAGAAAAGAAAATGGAGGTTACCAAATTCCATACAGAGAGACCCACACTGAGGAAGGGGAGGAGGCAGTGGAGGAGTGTGTGTGGGGGTGTAGCTCAGTGGGAGCGTGCCTACCTGTCATGGAAGCCCCTGGGTTCAAACTCCAGTGAAAAAGGAGGAGCCAGGGATGCCGAGTGGCTTTCTTCCTAACAACTGCTTCAGCTCCAAACCCTAGACAAGGCAGAGTTTCTGTCTCTGTCCTTATGACTGCTAAATACGAAAGGTGGCAGGGAACAATGGTTGTCCAACATCCTGATAGATTAGGAGCATCCAGGCAAAGTGCAATAGTGCATCCGTGTCCAGAGTCATCTTCACAGTTTCCTGTTTTGTTTTTAAAAGCACATTAATAGTTCTGTGCTGTATTCATTTTGAATTCTGTTGTCACACATATCTGACTTTCCTCCTTGGTTTCTGGTCTTTGTGTCATTCTAAGGAAAGCCTCTTCCATCAACATCACGGGAACATAGGTCCTTTGGACTATACATTAAAAGCATAGGGGCCGGAGAGATGGCTCAGCGCTTCTGAGCACTTGCTGCTCTTAAAAAGGGTCCTAGTTCGGTTCTGGTACCCAGGTTGAATGGCTTTCAACTACCTGTAATTCCAGTTCCAGGGGATCCCATACCCCTTTGTGGCCTCTGCAGGTACCTGCACAGCTGTTCATACACTCACATGGCACACACACACACACAAATTAAAACAAAGCATTTTAAAAGTGTATTTTAAATCTCTTAAGTAATTAAATATTTTTACATTTATTTGTTAATTTGTGCTTGTATGTATATGTGTGTGGATGTGTGCATGATGTAGGACATGTGCGGAGGTCAGAGGACCACTTTTGGGAGCCAGTCAGCTCTTTCTTTTTGCTATGTGGTTTCTGGGGTTTGAGCACAGGCCATTAGACTTGGGACATCTCATGGATCCATATTTTAAATCTTTAATTCATTTGGGATTGAGTTTCAGTATAGGGTATAAGGAAGAATCTGTCTGCCCTTAAAAAATTATTTGCTGATAAAGATCAAAATTGAAGCTTTTGACAGGTAAAGATAATTTTTTTAAAAAAGGATTTCCCCATAAAGCTGCAATCACACTTTAATTGTGGGATGATTTCCGGTGAAAAGCACAGGCTGTGCTTATTGCTAAGGTGAGAAGGTGGGATTTAATTTGGGGTTCAAGCACTTCCAATTTTATCATTGGCCCTCAGTCTTACTGGGAAGACCCTAAAGATACTTGGTCCAATTATCAAATAGGATTTTTTTTTTTGAGACAGTGTTTCTCTGGGCAGCTCTGGCTATCCTAGAACTCTCTCTGTAGACCAGGCTAGCCTCAAACTCGTAGAGATGCATTTGCCTCTGCCTCCTGAATGCTGGAATTAAAGGCATAGGGCATCTCTGTGTAGCCTTGAACTTTCAGCCGTCCTTGTCCTCTTGAGTTGGCCTCCTAGAGTGCAGGGCTCTAAGCCACCATGCCATTTCAAGTGGGAATGCTTTGAAGTTTAGGATGCTCTCAAGTGCTCAAGATTTATCGTAACCCTTCGCTACGCTGACTGTCTCGTCCTTGCTCTCTGGATGGAAGTGACAGCAGGGGAGGCCGGTGGCCCAGGGAGACGCAGGTGTCTGCAACCACACGGTCCGAACCTGCGCCAGGTTCACCGCTCTCCTCTTTTGCAGGCACATCTTCATCTGTCTTGCGGCATACCTGGGCTGCGTGTGCTTCGCCTACTTCGATGCTGCCTCAGAGATACCCGAGCAAGGTCCAGTCATCAGATTCTGGCCCAGTGAGAAATGGGCCTTTATCGGTATCCCCTACGTGTCCCTCCTGTGTGCCCACAAGAAGTCGCCAGTCAAGATCACATGATGGCAAGGCAGTGGCTGGCTTCTCGGACTTATTTCTCTTCGTGCACTGGGCTTCATTTGCTGGCAAAAATCGCCACGGGGGTTGAAGAATCGGTGTGGGTGTATCTGTTTAAAATTCTGTTCCTCTGGACCACTGTGCCTGGGAAGGAGGTTCATCTTTTCCCTAGATGGAGGATGTAGGGCTCAGGGAGAGTAGGTGTGTCTTTTTCAGCATCCTTTCTAGGCACGTGGGCTTGCTGGCCTGTCCATTTTGGCAGTGGCAGAACAGTTCTTTGGGAGACCCAGGGCAACTTCTTGCTGGAGAAGGTGGCTTGCTGTAGATCCCACGGCCCCCAGGCTGTGTGAGTGAGTACATAGGAGTTAGCTTCTCTGACATAGACAAGACTTTTGGGTTTTGTGATGGAAGGTGCCAGAGCTTTTCACTGGCAGGCGAGAAATTGTCCTTCAACAAAACCAAGAGTACAGAACACACAGGGGGCCTGTAACTGAGGGGGCTGGCTTGTCACTTGCACCTCTCAGCCTCCCCAGCTTTTCCATGAGCTTGTGGATCCTTTAACCACTACCTCGGCTGAGAGATGGAGACTTGGTGTCAGAGGGCAAAGCAGTAACATCCTCTACCCACAGGCTTCTCTGGGGTGAAGATTCCACCCACAGCCCTTCTGCTTACCCCTTGACCTCTGAGCGCACCAATGGCTCATCTCCGTCACCCAGGCAGCGCAGGTTTTGAATGTGGAGCATGTGTGAAGCTTTAGGGAAAGTTCTCACTGGAAGCTTCCAGGATGTGTCACCTCCAAGACTCTGACCCTGTTCCTCTGCTGCTTCCTGGAAATGTGGGCCTCCTGCGTTTGTTCTCACGTTACCTGGTGCTAATTGGTTTCTCGGAGCACTTGTCTGTTTGTCCTTCTGTCTGTCACTACACCCTGATTAGCTGGTTGGGGGGTCACAGGTGGGCCGGGGTCTTCAGCGCATGAGGTGGGATATCTCAGGGAATGTTTGTAACTCAGGCACCTTCTCTTTTCTGACATTCCATTGTGGGGAGTCGGGCAGTGCTGGGGGAGCGGGGATTGGAGTCATGAGGCCACTGTTCTGAGCCATGAACAGTGTCCTGAGTCAGAAGCAGCTAGTTGGTTCTGGCACCTCAGGAACTTGTACCCTGGTTAGAATTTTCACAGGGTCCGTAATGGAAACTGAACTTAAGTTTTTACATGAATAGACTCCATTTCACTTTTGTGGCTTTGAAGTCACTTGCTAGGTTATTTCTTGTTTATAGAAACAAATCTTTATGGAAGTAAGTTATCTTTCATTAAATTTATAGCATTCACTACGTCTCCCAGGGAACAAACACGCAAGTTATTTGATTGGGGGATTTCCAAGGCAGAAATATTTGGTTTTGAGGGAGTGTTTATATGATCTTACTATAGCTTAAAATATATTTAAAATGATTTTTGAGTTGAATGTTTGTGGCTATGTAGGGGTTCAGAATTGCTGCTGAGCACTTTGGTTTTTGAGTCTAGAAATTTTCAGAGGGTAAAATCAAACCATCCTTGTTTCTGGTCTATCTTCCCAGGCACGTGGTCTGCTCTTATCTATTCTATGCTGTACAAACATCTTGAAGACACACCCAGCTGCCCCATGCTGGAAGGGTTGGCTGGGGCTGGAGAGTTAGCCCAGCAGTTAAGAATACGTGTTGCACTGGGCAATGGTGGCACACACCTTTAATCCTAGCACTTGAGAGGCAGAGGTAGGCGGATCTCAGTGAGTTTGATGCCAGCCTGGTCTACAAAGCGAGTTCTAGGACAGCCAGGGCTTTACACAAAGAAAGCTCTGTCTTGAAAAAAAGAAAAGGAAAGGAAAGAAAAAAGGAATGCATATTGCTTTCCCAGAGGACTCAGAATTAATTCCCAGCATACACATGAAGCTCACACCCTGTGATTCCGGTCCCCTGGGATCCCTGCATACAGGCAGGCAAACATTTATGCACATAGAGTAATAACATGTATAAACTGGAAAGCTGGCTGTAGGAGAGGGTTTCTAGATGCAAGGTTTAATTTGTCCCGAGGGCGCTGCCGTGACAGTGGTGTGGTCCTCAAAGTCAGGGAAGACTCATTCCTTTTCACCTGGGAAGAGAACTTACTCCCCAGGGCCTCTGCTGACACCACTAGAAGTGGGGATCCAATACTGATGGAAATGCTTGAACATGATTGGGTGAAAGGAAATGAACGCCCGACTTAGGGGGCAACTTCTCCACGTAGGTGCCACCAGATCTGGCTTGGGATGGAGTGTGTTTGGGGCAAACACCCTTTTTTTCTTTTCCGCCTGTCTGTGACAGAGCTTTCTCCTCTGTCTCAGGCTGGCTTCCATCTTACTGTGTAGCCCAGACTGGCCTCAAATTGATGATGAGCCCCCAGATGCAGCCTCTCAAATGCTAGGTGTGATTATAGGAGTGAACGGCCATACCCATCCTAAACGGAGATCTATAGCTCGCTAACAAGGGACTGGACATATATGAATCTGAGTTTGAGCTGGGCTTTGGGCATTGTTCATATTTATGTTAAAGCTCCCCATGTTGAGAAGAAATTGGCACACTACGGAAAGGCAGCAGAAGAAAAACATTACCCACGCCACTGTTGCCTTAGAGCATCCCTTGCCAATAGTTTGCCTTTTGGGTGTGTTTCCTTCCTATCCTTTCTGTCCTACTACAGCTATAATTAGATGTCATTTAGACAGTGTATCCTTGAATGGAGTACAAACGCCAGCATTTTCATGGAGAGCTGGCGTGGAGTACACTTTAGCTGGCTTTCTCTTGAAGGCTGATGGCTGGTCTCTGAGCTCACTACCGGAACTGCCTTTTCCATGAAGCCTGACTGGAGTGGCCCCGAGACATGGGCTGATTTCAGCTTTTGATGGAACACTTCACACTTGGATCTCTGTGTCATGGTAAACAGCTGTTAAAGACGTGACTTCATGGACTTTCATGTGTGAAGAGTGGTAAAGACAGGCTGAGCCCAGAGTCCAGAATCTTCTCCCTTCTGGCGAAGTTGGCACTGATGAGCGAGGTCATGACCACTCAGCGGCATGGGTATCGGACTATTCTGTTCCAAATCTGCCTGCGATCTCAGGACATAGAAAGCCAAATGTCACCAAGCGTTCATCTCTGTCCATGATTTTACAGTTTTGATCTATCGTTGATTCTTAGGAGGAGAGCTCCTTGCTTTAGTGCCCCATGATGCCAAAGCCAGCTCTTCAGCGGAGCTCTTAATGTCTGTATCCATTTGTGATGTGATCCATGTGGGGGAAGTGTGTGTGTGTGGGTCTCTCCGGTGAAAAGTGCCTAAAACAGTCATTGAGGGTCAACAGTGTTGTGTTGAGGGAGAAAGCTAGATGGTTTTTCTAGTGGTGACTAGAACCTCCCTCAGAAGTCCTTTCCTTCTGACCCCACCCTGAGCCAGCCCTGGAATTTGAACCTTCCCTAGTTCTTCTTCCCTCGGGTCTGATGACTATCAGGCAAGGGCTGGAGCTTGGGCCAGCCAGGCCCTCTCTCCCAGTTCCTTTCTCTAGCTGAGCTTGGATTCCTCCTAACCAGGGTTTGACCTAGGTGCTGTTGGTCCCAATGGCCAAGGACACATCTCCGGCCAGAGTGGGATTCTCATTAGATTTTATAGACTTTATTCTCCCACATTCTTAAATTACTTCAAAGGGCTTGCGTCTTTTCCTACAATCAAGTCATATCAAAAAACTATTTTATAACCACAATATGTAATCCAAGTAAATAGAATATTTTCAGATATATACCGTGTTTTATACTTTTATGTAGGGTGTGCTGTATATGGGTGGTATGTATTCTGGCTGAGGTAACATTAATCATTGCTCTGGGGGAATTTATAGGCCTTTTGCACTTTATGCTTGTGTGTGAGAGAGAACTCTGATAACCACTGTTAATATTAAAGCCATTAACTGGCATTTCCTGTGAATAAAGATGTATATGTATCTATTTCTGAAGTGACTTCTTTCTTTAAACATTTTTGTTATTATGTATGTATGTATGTATGTATGTATGTATATATGTGTGTGTGTGTGTGTGTGTGTGTGTATGATGTGTGTATGAATGGCGGCCCTCACACGTGGAGATGAGTCCCCTGCCTTCATGTGGGTTCCAGGAGTCAAACTCAGGTTGCCAGGCTTGGGTGACAAATGCCTTTACCTGCTGAGCCATCCTGTTAACTCGTTTGTTTGCTTGTTCTCCCCGACTCCCATGCCGTTTAGACAGAATCTCACAAAGCCCGGTCTGGTCTTGAACTTACATATATATAGTTGAGGATGACCCTGAACTTCTGATCCTCCTGCCTCTGCCTCCCAATGGGACTACAGGGTGGTAGTTTGAATGAGAATGGCCTCCATGGGCACATATGTTTGAACACTTGGTTCCCAGTTGGTGGAACTGTCTGGGAACGAGTAGGAAGTGTGACCTTGCTGGAGGAGAGCTACTGTGGACAGGCTTAAGAGTTCAAAAAAAGAGAAAACCCTCCCACTATCCCTATTCCGCTCTCTCTGTCTCCTGCTTATGAATCAAGAAGTGAGCTCTCGGCTGCCACCAGGCCTTTGCTCTATCATCATGGATTACAACTCTCTGAAACTGTAGGCCCAAATGCATGCTTTTTGAAAATAAGTTTCCTTGGTCGTGGTCAGCATGAAGTAAGACAGCCACCATGTGGGAATCTTCAAAGTAATTTCTAAAGTATCTGTAATGAAAATGAACTTTATCCCTCCCTTCCGTGAGACAGGATCTCATATTGTAGCCTAGGTTGGCCTGGAACGCTCTGTAGCCCAAGCTGACCTCAAACTCACAGCAATCACACGGGCAGGTCACAGGCAGGAGTCAGCACCTCGAGCAAGCGTGCCGCTCGTGGATTACAGAGCACAGTATCTTTGCCTGGTGAGAGGTCTGGGCATCTGTGACCACACACGCTTCAAAGAAGTATCTAGTTCATTTCTGATTTCTTCCGAGCTGTGAAACCAATACACCACCATCTTCTCAGCACAGAGTACCAAACAGTTCTGTGTTAGGTCATGTGGCACCTTACATAGACGACAGCTCACTGGTGCTGCCTTCCTGGCAGTCTCAGGAGGCAATATCTTGTGACATTGCCAGTCAGTGCCTTCGTTGGCAGCACCTGCATCTACCTCCTTACTGTTATAACTTCCGGTGATGGTCGTTTCAGTGTAGGAATTCACTGGTCACCAAGGTTAAATAAGGTGACCAGAGAGGATAGGTCAGCATTACCGAAGGTCCTCATGGTGGGCTCTTTAGACTTTTCTCTGGTTAATAGGAAGAGACACTGGCAGCTCTGGAGCCTTGTGATGTCTGATGAAGTTGGCTTCTTCTCTCCAGGGTGATGTCCCTGCCTGTGGTTTCCTGGGGAATGATGTCCCTAGGACACTCCCCTTATAAAGAACTCCCTCTGTGGCAAGACTAAGGATCTGAATCCTTTCCGGTTCTCAGATTGGTCCCTTGATCCTGAAAATTGAACCTCAGTCTCTTTTGAGTCTAGGAAGTGGGGGCAGAGGCTGGGTAAGAGGCTGAGTGTGGGGGGGAGACAGAGGCTGGGTAAGAGGCTGAGTGAGGGGGACAGAGGCTGGGGAAGTGGGGTTCTGTGTTCAGAAAACAGTGCAGAGTGTATCCCCAGTTATCCTTGAAGTCTGCTTGTATGGGTCTGACTGAAGGAGACAGAAATCCTACAGGCTTCCCTGCCCTCTGTTTTAAAAGACCAGAGTTGGGGTCCAACTCCCCTTTAAGACAAACATTTTAAGTGGTGCTCAGGGCATAACCCAGGGCCTTGTTTGTGGTAGGGGTGTAACCCAGGGCCTTGTTTGTGGTAGGGGTGTAACCCAGGGCCTTGTATGTGCTGGGGGTGTAACCCAGGGCCTTGTATGTGCTAGGGGTGTAACTCAGGGCCTTGCATGAGCTAGGGGCATAACCCAGGGCTTTGTATGTGTTAGGGGTGTAACCCAGGCCAGTTGGGGGTGCTATAGCATGCCTGCAATCCTTCTACCTGGGAGGCATAGGCAGAAGAATCGCAACAAGTTTTAGACTAGCCAGGGCTACATAGTGAGACCTTTACTGGAAGAAGGAGGAGGAGGAGGGGGAAGAGGAAGAAGAAAAGAATCAAGAGAAGAAGAAAAAGAAAAGAATCAAGACCCAAAGATAAACATTACATTAAGGTGTCAATATGGGGGACTGGTAAGAGGACTCAATGGGTAAAGGCATCTGCTGTCAAGCCTGCCGACCAGAGTTCAATCCCTAGGATCCATGTGGGGAAGAAAGAAAGAAAGAGAGGAGAGAGAGAGAGGAATGGAGGGAGGGAGGGAGGGAAGGAGGAAGGGAAGGAGGGAGGAAAGAAAAGAATAGGAAAAAAGCAAGATAGCATAATGGTATTTGCTATTCTGTGAACAAAACAAGTAAACATAGCTGCTGGACCAGAAACTAATGGAGTAGACGCGCCACCTTGTGACAATATATGGTATTGCCCTCAGTGGTGCTAGCTTGTCTCCAAACTCAATGTCTGTCTGAAAAGTCTGATAAATTTTGCAAGCTTTTTCAGGGTACATGTATGTTGCCTTGGGTTTTTTCAACCATATCTCTCTCGGTCTTCACCCCCTCTTCTCTCCATGAACAGCTCGTGTTTCGTGGCCTAAGGTGTTGGATATTGCTAGAATTTTTAAAATAGAGCAAATTCACTTCTGTACATGAAACCAAATTCATACAGATGTGGTATAGAGGAAGATTTTGTCCATCTGTCTGTCTGTCTGTCATCCATCCATGAGTCTATCTACCTACCTTACATGATATCATGTAGGTCACTCTGGCCTTCAGCTCAATATTACTTCCTGTATATTCCAGGATGACTTGAATTCTTGATCCTCCTGCCCCCACCACTCCAAGGCGGGGATTATGGGTGTGCATTACCGGGTTTATTGAGAGTCTATTTGTTGTTGTTTATTTTTTATGAGATTTATTTATTTTATGTGTGTGTTCTGCCCAAATGTGTGCCCATTGCCTTTGGGGGCCAGAAGAGGGTGTCAGATCCCCAGAAACTGGAGTTATAGAGGATTGTGAACTCCCACGTGGGTGCTGGGAATGGAACCCTATCCTTTCTCTGGAACGACACCTAGTGCTCTTAACTGTGGCTGCAGCCTCTAAACAGAGCTTTTTTTGGTTTACTTGTTTTGTTTTTTAATTCTCTGGGATCAACAGCCCCATTTATACAAGATAAACACAAGATAAACACATCAGCACACATCCATTCAGAGACTGAATGATGCTTTTCTACTGTTATAGTTATTGTGTAGGGTTGGGAACAGAACCTCAGTTTTCCCGATGCTTGAGACACCCTAGCACACCTGCACCCAGTGCACCTGCACCCAGCACGCCCGCACCCAGCACGCCTACACACAGCACACCTGCACCCTAGAACATCTTCACCCAGCACACCTACACCAGCACACCTGCACCCAGCAACCTGCACCCCTAGAACAGTGCACCCTAGAACACCTACACCTAGCACACCTGCACCCAGCACATCTACACCAGCACACGTGCACCTAGCACACCTGCACCAGCACACCTGCACCCAGTACACCTGCACCAGCACACCTGCACCCAGCACACCTGCACCAGCACACCTGCACCCAGTACACCTGCACCAGCACACCTGCACCCAGCACACCTGCACCAGCACACCTGCACCAGCACACCTGCACCCAGCACACCTGCACCCAGCACACCTGCACCAGCACACCTACCCCGAGAGCTCACACATGCTGTGGATTCTGGGCCTGTTCTGTCTTTGCCTCCTTCCTGGTGTGTTCTGAGCTCTTTGACTTTGTCCCCTTAAGAAACTCTTCTGAGTAGGGAGGGTGTGGTGGCACACACCTTTAATCACAGCACTTGGGGGTCAGAGGTAGTCAGAGCTCTGTGAGCTCAAGGCCACTAGTCTATGTAGTTCCAGGACAACCAACACTACATAGAAAGATCCTGTCTCAAAATGAACACAAAACAAATCCCAAATAAATAAATAACTAAATAAATAGGTAGATAGATAAATAAATAAAAATAAAAAAGAATCTTCCAGAAATTTGCAGTTCTGTCTTTGCCTTCTCATGATTGTGGGTGTTCTTTGCTGGGAAACAGTCCTTAAACTGAGTGTCTGGAACCAGGGTAGTTTGTGCTTCTGTATTTTAGGATAAAGGTTTATGATAATATATATCATGTCGGTAGGATTTATGCCATGTGGAGACCCGTGGAGACCCATTCCATGCTCCTTCCATGCTGCTGGTGTTACCCTGCTTGGTCAGTCCCGGCCTTGCAAGCAAACTGCTTCATTCCTGTCTGTATGGTCATGTGGCTTCTTCCATGCCTCCCTGTGTCCAAATAATCCATCGCCTTTGCCTTCAAAAGATGTCAATGGGACTGGAGAGATGGCTCAGAGGTTAAGAGTGCTGGCTTCTCTTCCAGAGGTCCTGGGTTTGATTCCCAGTAACCACATGGTGGCTCACAACCATCTATAATGGGATCTGGTACTCTCTTCTGGCAAGCAGGCAAACTTACAGGCAGAACGCTGTGTACATTATGAAAGAAAGAAAGAAAGAAAGGAAGGAAGGAAGGAAGAAAGAAAGGAAGGAAGGAAGGAAGGAAGGAAGAAAGAAGATGTTGGTTACTGGATTTATGCTCCACTTGAATCCACTGACTTTGCCTCAACTGATTACATCTTTGAAACCCTTATTCCCTGACAAGTTGCATTTGTTCTGGGTGAATGTGAATGGAGGGGGTTGGTGTTGATCCACTCCAGGGTCTGATAAGATGCTTTCTACATCAGCTAAGAATGTGGAGCCCCCTCCCCACAGTTACATGTGTTTGTGTTCTCTCTCTCTCTCTGTCTCTCTCTCTCTCTCTCTCTCTCTCACACACACACACACACACCACACCACACACAC